GCATCAGCACGAACTTTTAATATCGTATTTCGCTGTTGTTCATCATTATTAAACAAAGTGGGATAAAAAAGTATGGTTAGTGATGAACTTAATCCTAAGGCGATTGTAAATAGAAGAAAACCACCAAGTGGATGGATATTTCTTGATGACGGATATAGAAAAAAATAATATTGTTTAATATCTTTGATAGAAAACATACTAAGAGCATGTAGGAGGAGAATCTAAAATTAAAGAATTGAATTAAGTTTACCAATGGCGGTGTAGATTATCATTTTGAATCTATGCGATAGACTAGGAAACAAGTTACCAAAAAGTATAACAATTTCACAAAGAATGCCTATAAGGAAGCACTGGGCGTTTGTCTATTATTCCGAAAGTCAAATACTGAAGGATTTTGGATTTCCTACAATATCAATCTGACTTTTCTACGATATGCAAATTAATATTTCGTTTCTTAAACCGGAGAATCGCTATCGATTTCATATAGATACTCTATGAATGAAAATTCATTTCTGAAAGCTAAGAAATTATTTTCCGATTTTCTAGTTTTGTTCTCTTATGTTTGTTTTTCTTGTTTATGTAACTTATGTGAATAACGCGTTGTTTACTTCAGGCAACAACTTAAACAGAATCACAAATTCATATAATGGACAGAAGTAGGTTGTAAAATGGCAGAGGAGAAACTGTAAAAAAGCAAATGTCCTACAAACGGCAGATTCTAAAACCAAAAAGTCTCCATTGCGGTGCGAATTCAAAAGCCGAAAACTTTCCTCAGAGAAGTGGTAGTGTGATCTCGGAGTTAGTCATAAAACAAAGTTGAGAAAAGCCTGTTTCGAATCATTGGAAAGAGTAATTTCTTTCTCATTCAACACTCATTCCATATAAACACTTCCTTTTTAAACTTCATCGCTCATAGAAGCACAGCTAAAAGGCCAAGACATTTCTTCACATGATCAAGAAAATATAAATCGAAACAGACGTTTTTATTCTATCTTGAATAAAATAAGAACTATGCTGTTAAATTCATATTACAGTCTGCCAGCCATAGGTGGTTACCATTTCTCAATAAACCTGTCCTCATTTCAAAATGAAATGGAAAAAACTTAGACTTTTATACACTAAGGACAGTTAGGAAATTAACGAGGAAAGTGGCGTCAAACTGATTGCTCAAACAGCGCGTAATGGTACTGATCCATGTTTTAATGTTGCTATAGAAACCGCAACGGTCAGGAATGCTGTAAAAAACCGCAAGAAAAACGACATCATATTCTGGAATAAGGAAATAACACTTTATAAATACTGAAGTTGGGCGCGAATTGATCCTAAAACTGGTAATTCGTTCAGATATCCCTTTCCACTTTCCAGTATGGGCATATTTTCTGTAGTTTAGATAATGACAGGAACTTTGAATTGTGTTTAACAGTGTTTTTTTCCTATTTTCTAGATAAATTTCATTTTAGGAGTTATTTTATAATTTATGCTATGTTAGAATGTATAATAAGACAGTGAGTTGGGCATTCTAAAAGCAGATTTACCGTTCATATTTGTTCATGTTATTTCAATTTTATGTTCAGAAAGTACGAATTTGTGTATTGTGTCATAAAGGCAGCTATGCCGACAAAGTTTCGCTATACAAGTTGATTCAGACAAGCTATGAAGCTACGAAATACAAAACTGGCATCATTCCCGACATGGTCGTCGCTTACAGCAGACACTTTTAGGTTCACACATGCACGATAGCTGCTATGACTCTTTACGAAGATATTCCATTCACGCCTCAGGTAGAAGCTGCAGGACTTTCAGACAGAGACAGAATATATGACTCTTCCTGTCTCTGTTTTCAGCTGCTGATATGTTCTTGTGTAATTTTTGTTTCTTTTTCGGGCCTAAAACAAATCCAGAAAGTGATCCAGGAGGTGAACTTTAGGGGGAGAGAGGGTCGGCCCAAGATTACGCCAGTGGCTCTGTTCCAGCGGGAAGCCCTGGGTCCTGCATATTCTAGGGAGAGAGGGGAGGTCAAAACTGGCCGAAACCGGCTTACGTAATACTTGAATGACTCCGTGGCAACGTTCGCATATCACTTGATCAGGGTTTTCTAAGGGCAACACTGTACCTTCTAAAATGTCGAAACTCATTTACCAGGTGCACTTAGGTCAGCAAACGTAATTTTCACACAACAAACATTGTGTTTGACCATAGTATGTTTCACATTTCCACTAACATCGACTGTTGTACCATCACATTTAATTACAATTCTCAAAATATGTCCTTTTTCCAAATGTAATGCAAATGATTTCTGATGCACCATGGAGTTTTTCATATGGCTATCAGCACCACCACGACATATTTTATCAAGTTTAAGTTTAATATATTTTTCAATATCGCCGAAGCTGAATCTTGTCAGTGAATGTAGATCCGACATATTTTATACAAGTTGGAATATTGAAAATGATATTATGATGTTTGTTAAAGAATAAACGTTTGTGTGTGTATGTATGTGTAATAGAGAGTGAATGTATCGATAAGTAAGAAAAGTGAATAAAAAATGTATGATCAGTAACAATGACACTATTCATATGTTTGTGACGATTTCTGATCCAAGGGATATCAATGCTGATGGAGCTACGTTTTCAAAAAATGTACGTGTTTCTTTGCTAGTATAAGAAATAGTAAAAACTGGACGTATGTCGCATTTTTCCCTAGTCGGTTTACTTCTGATATATAGTAGAAATCAGGATCAAAACAAATCTTAAAAATGAGTCAGCCATCTTGTAGAGAATTTCATGCTCTATCGAAATACATATAAACTAAGACGCAGGTAATAGTAAAACATGAAGACACACACCTACAGACACCTACAGACACCCACAGACAGCACACAGACATCCACTTCTACGTCTGTAGAAGTGGATGTCTGTGGGTATCTGTAGGTGTCTGTGGGTGTCTTCATGTTTTACTATTACCCGCTAAGGCGCAACCTGACTTTGAAGTACACAAAAAAATTAAAATTTTGTGAATCTATATCTCATTAAGTATGTGACTATATGAAAGGTTGGTCTGCCATTTTTTAACACATAGCAGTGAAGATATGATTTGGATGTCGTTCAATTCAGTTTTTTATCGTCTACCTAGCACAGTGGTCAAATGAGTCTTGTCTAGTCTTTTAGTCAAGAAAGATGATTAAATTACTAGTTGAATGGAGCAGCAAGATAGTGATAGT